ACTTACTACAGTTACTACACTTGCTATCATTATTGCTGCTACTATTACCATTTCTATTACTACTACTACTACTACTACTACTACTACTACTACTACTACTACTGTTACTACTTTTACTACTGCTACCACTACTGCTATCACAACTATTACTACTATTACTACTACTACTACTACTGCTCCATTCTTCGCCCTTGTCCATGCATGCACCCAAGATTATTATAAACACTGTAATAGTTCATCACCATCCTTATGATAAATGCAGTTATGGTAATCGTGATAGTGTTAATGATTCAATAACAGGATTATACTGACTAATACTACCACCGCAACTGCTGCTGCTGCTACTACTATTACTATTATTACTACTACCATTGCTACTACTGTTACTACAACTACTATTACTGCTATTGCTGGAGCAGCCGCTGCTGCAAATAACGATAGTAAATGATAAATAATGATGATTATCATACTAACAATAAAAGAAAAAAAGGAAAGAATACTGAAAATAATGATGATAATGCTAATAAGCATTAGAATGATAAAAATAATGGCAATATTAGTAATAATAATGATAATGATTATAAATAACTGCATCAGTTATAATAATATTCAAAATTCACTAATGATAACAACAAAAACAACAATAATAATGATGAATGATGATAATGATGATGATGATGATGATGATGATGATGATGATAGTATTAATAATAATGATAATAATAATAATAACAATAATAATGATATAACAATAATAATAATAACAACAATGATAATAACTGCAATAATAAATACAATGATAATGATGATGATAATAATAATAATAACTGTAATAATGATAATAAAAATTACAATACTAATAATAGTGATGATGATAATAATAATAGAAAAAAATGATAATGAAAATGATAATCATAATAATGATAACACTAACAATGATAATAATGATTATAAAAACAACGAAAACAATAATGCCGATAATCCCAAAAAATAAAACAACAATAACAAATCTAACAAAATGACAACAACAAAACAACAATAAGACTCTCGGTCCCAATCCCTCGCCACGCCACACTTGCAATTCCTCCCTCAGCCTCTGCCGCTGCAAACCGACATTCCGGCTTCGCAACCTTATGACCCTCGCCTCCCACGCTCTCCCTTCGTGGGTTATTGCTTCTTCTGGAACCTGTCACATACTCGGCGCACTCCCTTGTGCACTCACTTATAGATATGTATTTCTGTGGGTTTGTGTTTGTGGTTGTGTGTGTGGTTGTTTGTGGGTTGTTTGTGTGGTTGTTTGGTGTTGTGTGTTTGTTGTGGTTTGGTTGTTTGTGTTTGTTGTTTGTTTGGTTGTGGTTGTTTGTGTGTTTGTTTATGTGTGTGTGTTTGTGGTTGTTTTGTGGTTGTGTATGGTTGTGGTTGTTTGTGTTTGTTTATGTTGATTGTTTATGTGTTTGTTTGTGTGGTTGTTTATGTGGTTGTTTGTGTGGTTGTTTATGTGTTGCTTGTGTGGTTGTTTATGTGTGGTGTTTTTATGTGGTTGTTTGGTGTTGTGTGTTTGTTTGTGTGTTTGTGTGCTTGGTTTTGTGTGTTCGTGTGTTTGTTTAGTTTATGTGGTTGTTTGTCTGTGTCGTGGTTTGTGTGTGTTTCTTCGTGTTTATTTGTTTGGTGCATAAGTAGGCTGGATTGTTTGTGTGGATGGGTGTGCAAACATACAAAAAAATATTAGCCGACGTTAAGTACAAATGCTTTACACAGATAGCCATATACACAAACGGCACACACTTACACACACACGTACACATGCATACATAGACACTCCCTACACAAGAGGCTATTAGAAGGGTGGGGTGATGGTGGTGGTGGGGGGGGGTTCTCTAGCGAAACCGGAGGGGAAAAAATAGGAATTTCTCAAATTATGTTCTGAAATTTTCTTCGTAATTAGTATTGGCTATATAAGTGTTGCTTGTAATTCAAGATGGATCTTCAATCATTTGACTGATGATGTGAGAAGCGGGAGGGAGGAAAACACATACACACACACATATACACATACTCTCACATATTACACAGACATGTATTCGCAATTACACCTACACACACACATACTGCCGCATACACACAAACATGCACTCTCTCTCTCACACACACACACTTTCACAAACACACACACATACTCTCTCGCTCACACACACACACTTCACAAATACACACACATGCACTCCTCTCGCTCACACAAAACACTTTCATAAATACACACACACATGCACTCTCTCGCACGCACACAACACACACACAACACACACACACACACACACACACCACACACACACACACACACACACACACACACACAACACACACATGCACTCTCTCTCACACACACAAACATACATACTTGCACAGCCCCCCCCCCTCAACCGAACCGGTTCCCGTGACCCGAGGAGGCACAGGTCACAACGGGTTCGTGGTCAAGGGAGGGCGGGGGCTTGAAGAATGG